CATAACTGAAAAGACTTGCTATCACTTAACCTCCTGTAATTATTGCCAACCTCCCTTGTATGAAGATGATATTAAGATCACAACAGTACACACTGGAACGATCCCAAATAACGCTGAAAGCCCCTTAAAAAAAAAAAAAAAAAAAAAAAAAAAAAAAAAAAGACAAAGCAGCCTGCAAAAGTTTGAAGATCCACGCAATAAAGGAAGAAACAACATCAACAACAAAAAAAATAAAAAATCAGGGCGCGTATGCATCCAACGTCAACACTAAAAGTAAAATATAAAAATCCGTGATTATGCTGTAATAAAACTTTGTAATAATTATTTTTTCAGAAATAGCCGACATTCAGCTACACAAATATGGGCGGATACATAATGTTTTGCCAATTTGGAGGTGGTAATAATTTGATGATGGTTTGTTTGTTTGTTTATCGATATATCAACTCCTTATGTGTCATTTAATGCTGAAATTTCATTTTCTTGGGGACTTTGAAGTAACAAAAAATGGTATAGGTTATTCTGCTTTCAAAATTGAATACTTGGTGAGGATACTCAATTTTTGTGTATGTACATGTTTGTTTGGACATAATTACTACAGGCGGTGATATGTGTTTTGTTGAAGTTATATTTTAGAATACAGTTTGATTTCTTTAAGAAATCGTAGGATATTATATTGATTAATGTCATGAAAGAGTTCTTTCAATTTGGTTATTTGGTTGACTTTTTAGTAGTACTTCAGCCTCTGGGTTATCTAATACCGAAATCTAACTAATTTGAACATTTTTATGGCCTCAACTAAATATTTTGAACGCTTTCAACTACAGATAAAATGTATTCGTCATTTTACTATAAACTGTATTGTTAGTAACATTTTTATATATAAAAAATATACTACTGGTATTTTTACTACAAAAATGTATTTTTATACTTTCATAGTACTTTGGTTTTGTTTGCGTGAGAGGTTAATTATTCGCCCATAGTTGGGCCGCTAACAGCTACCACCCCAGGTCAGGGTGGATCTGGTAAGAACAGCAACTAAGACCTGATTCTATGCTCCTCATAATCTCAAATCCCCCTTTATCAGAGGCCGGGATGCCGGGTGTAGTTTATGAAGGACTATTGATGAACACAAGGATTTTTAAAACATTAAATATTATAGTAATGAAAATCACTTCATAGTTAGATACCATAGAGATTAAATTCGATACCATACAAAGTAAATGAGTAAATTTTGATTTTCTATATATATTTTAAAATATTATCTAAAAAGAAGGAAATATATAAAAAAAGCACCTGTCTGGATTTCTCGACAAATTTATTCGAGTAGACCTTGGCCAATAGCTAACGTGTCAATGACAGATTTGGATATCAATTAAAAATACACCACATCACTAACAGTCCATCATGACAATGATAATTACAATAGTGATATTTACAAAGAAAATACGGCCAACATTCCTGGAGCACATACCGAAATAAGGTCTGGTGAATCTAACACGACGAAGCCACACTGTTCTTATCCTATTTCTGGCCTGATTCTGCTGCGCGCCCTATTCATCAGAACTCGGATGATAAGTTTTGTTAAGGCTAGAACTGTGTGGGTCCATCAAAGACACGGAACGCGATATTTATGCCCAGAACGTCAATGGAAAACGCAATACAAACGCTAAAGGACGAGTACCAATGTTTTGTCGTCTACGCAAAGTCGTTTGACAAAGTACGTCACAAAGATCTGTTAGAGCTGCTCAGCAACCTTGACATGTTCGGAAAAGACATTAGATTAATCAAGAATCTATACTGACAGCAAACCGCCTGCATACGGGCAGAATATAAGTTCAGCAGAAAGTATAAGACAAGTATGCGTCTTCCCGCCGGACTTATTCAACCTATACAGTGGGGCAATTTTGAGAGAAATACATATCCTACTAGGATTCATCATTGGCAGCCACAATCTTAATATAATATATGCAGAGGCTCTGATAGCAAACACGGATAGGAAACTACAAAACCTCCTACTGACGCGAAGGAAAGCGAGAAGAAAGGACTAAGCATAAAATACAAGATGACAGAATGCATGGCAGTCAGAAAAAAAAGATTGAACCCAAATTACAGAGCAGGAATACTAAAATCAAGCACAGAAATTCAAATATCTGAGAAGTGTTCTAACAGAGGATGAAAAGTGAAACGTAGTAAGATGACCAAAGACACATTCCAAAGATGAAGAGACTCGAAACAGAAATGTGGTTCTACAGAAGGATACTATGGGCGGATCATGTGAGCAACGACGATGTTTTAGAGTCAATGGAAACAAAAAGAAACTTATAATTAACATAAAAAGAGACAGTTAAGTTTTCTGGAGCAGATAATGAAAATGGATAGCTTGGAAATTCTGACACCCACAGAACGGAAGAAGGAAATAGGAACCGGGGAAAGCAACACGTGACATACTTGAGCAAATGGATGGCAGAATAGAGTTTGGGAAAAAATGACAAAAACATAAAACTTATTAAGAGATACGAAGGACAGGAAGATAAGGAGGACCATGAAATCCCACGCCATGAAGGGAGATATCACATAAAAGAAGAAGAATTTAGCACTCAAGACATACTGAAAGCAAGAGAAGAACAAAGAAGGATTACAAAGATTAAAATTTTAGAGAAGACAGGAAACTGTAGAAACATGATCGCCCACGTCATGAGAGTAACGGTATATAAAAGTGATATTACAAGCATTAATAATTTATAAAATCAACGAAAGAACTCTAACAAGACCAAGAAACAGAAATTAAAAAGTAACTTAAAATTGATCGGTTGTTGAGAAAAAAAAAATCTTAATTGTAATAGATAAAGTAAAATTATCAGGCAAAATATTCGGATGGGATGATTAGTGAAAAAGTTTTCATTCATTTTTTTTCGTCAGAATATAAAAGCTTCTCAGCAAAAAGGTTCGTCGAAAGACGAGATTATAAAACGCGTACTCTATTTACAATGACAGGCCATTGATTAAAAGATTTACATGACAGACTTGACAAGATTCATTACGACATAATCACAAAATACAAGGAAAAAAAAATCAGTCTTTCTTCCCAATGATAAAATCTATTGGAATTAAGTGATAGAAATAGATTCATGCAATTTTGAATTCAGGTTGTATTTGTGGTTGAAGTAATTTTATTTTCTACTGGCTTCAGCGGCTGGTGTTCAGATCAAGGTAGTAGACAATTTCAAATGCAGAATTTCCAAATGTACAAGCTATCCACAAAGACAAAAAACTGGCAAAACACGATCTTCTAGTTTGGCCTTGTGCTATACGAATTTCAGCTTACTAAATACTGAAATAATATGAGAATCAGTATTGGGAACCAATAGTTTTATTATCATGCGAAAGCAGTACGCCAATAAAGTGATGTAGACAAGATCAAAAATACGATGATACCCAGTCTAATTGTATACCGGGTACATTCCTCACTGTCAAATGTGCGCGATATGTAGACAAGTATCGTTGCAGGTGGGGCCAGTTAAAAATACTTTCAGGTCGCGTAAAGAAATTTGACTACAATATCCAATTGATGATAATCCAAAATATCTGCATATACTCAAGTCACCTTGGCTGCCGCGGCATTCAAACTTCAAAATTCATTATTCAAAACCTCTTGACATCCGGCAGGGTTGACTCTCCCCGCTCAGCCCTTAAAAGACGCCAACCTATTTAAGGTCACGAAACCGAAAAGCAAATATGTATAACTGAAAATTATATTTACTGTAGCCTATATAATTATTAAGGCTTATTAATTTTCCAAATATCAGGTCCTTCTTTGGGATCGTGTAATTCAGGTTTGTTTACTAACGGCCGTAGTTGCAATAAGTAGTAAGTAAAGTTAAAATGAAAGAAATATTAGTATAAACATTAACTAACAATACATCATCTACTACTGACAGACTAAGAAAAACAATCACATTATACATAATACTGTATAGTCATTAAGGAAGGCAAGTAGGATGTTTATAAGGCTAGAGTTAATCTTCTGCAACAATTACTTCTGGTAGCTCAAATGATAGAGCGGTTATCATATATAGACAAGCTTCTAACAATAAAAAGGGTGTCAGTCTAATGATTCTTTGTTCCCACTCCTCACTAAGGATTGGTCACTGAATTACAGTCTGAATAGTTGCAATCAAGAACAACTGAAAATAAGATGAAAAAATATTAGTGAAAATATAGTAATTCTCACAAATCGATTTATTTAATAAAATTATGGGTAATGTTTCAACGTTTACCACTAACAGCTTTGTATGTTGGAAGAAATAACTTTTCAGTTGGAAATTCTAATCATGCCTTTACATGTTACGAGAGAGTGAGAGAGAGAGAGAGAGAAAAGCCATAAACAGAGACATATAAAAACTAAAAATATATAAAAGCATAACCGATCAGAGGATTAGAGAAAATTGAATAAATGTCATAAGAAATTAAGTTAATATTGAAATTATCAATGGAGCGCTAACCGCCTTTTCCGTTAGAGACTCAATCAAAAAAAGCTGGGAGAAAGTAAATTACAAGAAAACAAAGAATTGCCTAACTTTCGGTTCTACAGAAAATAAGAGAATACACAATTCCCATTATGAATCCCTATATTAAAAATAACCAGTAACTGTATTTAGATGCAGTAAAAAGAAAAATGATTTGAATTATGAAAGACTAAAAAAAATTGATAGAAATTAGGAATAATGGCTATAAGATGGGCTCTGATAACTGTATGTGTATACTTGATATAACAGAGATGTTCATAGTTTTAATAAACGATTTCCTAATAGCCTTTGCCGTGGTAAGAATAATCATCATACTAAGAGAGAACCATTCATGAACGTTTTTCAGTTCTGTATAGCGAATAAAATTAAAAAAAAGACCTAAACGGAAAACAATATAAGGGATTTAAAAGGGAGAAAAATGATTTGGACATGAAATGAACTTTTGTGTGTGTGTGTGTGTGTGTAACATTAAATTTAAGGATAAAGATATAAAATATAAATGAAAAAATAAAGCAATCGAGAGAGGGGAGAGGGAAGAGAGAGTGAGAAAAGACAGATAGAGAGAGAGAGAGAGAGAGAGAGAGAGAGAGAGAGAGAGAGAGAGAGAGAGAGAGTGAGAGAGAGAGAGAGAGAGAGAGAGAGGAGAGAGAGAGAGAGAGAGAGAGAGAGAGAGAGAGAGAGAGAGAGAGAGAGAGAGGAGAAAGAGAGAGAGAGAGGAGAAAAGAGAGAGAGAGAGAAAGAGACAGAGAGAAAGAGAGAAAAGACAGAGAGAGAGAGGAGAAAAGACAGAGAGAGAGAAAAAGACAGAGAGAGAAAAAGAGAGAGGAGAAAAGACAGAGAGAGAGTGAGAAAAGAGAGAGTGAGAAAAGACAGAGAGAGAGTGAGAAAAGACAGAGAGAGAGAAAAGACAGAGAGAGAGTGAGAAAAGAGAGAGTGAGAAAAGACAGAGAGAGGAGAAAAGACAGAGAGAGTGAGAAAAGAGAGAGTGAGAAAAGACAGAGAGAGAGAGAGAAAGAGAGAGGAGAAAAGACAGAGAGGAGAAAAGAGAGAGTGAGAAAAGACAGAGAGTGAGAAAAGAGAGAGTGAGAAAAGACAGAGAGTGAGAAAAGACAGAGAGAGAGAAAAAGACAGAGAGAGAGTGAGAAAAGACAGAGAGAGAGTGAGAAAAGAGAGAGAGAGAAAAGAGAGAGCGAGAAAAGACAGAGCGAGAAAAGAGAGAGTGAGAAAAGACAGAGTGAGAAAAGACAGAGAGAGAAAAGACAGAGAGAGAGCGAGAAAAGACAGAGAGAGCAAGAAAAGACAGAGAGAGCGAGAAAAGACAGAGAGAGCAAGAAAAGACAGAGAGAGCAAGAAAAGACACAGAGAGAGTGAGAAAAGAGAGAGAGAGAGTGAGAAAAGAGAGAGAGAGAGTGAGAAAAGAGAGAGAGAGAGTGAGAAAAGAGAGAGAGAGCAAGAAAAGAGAGAGAGAGCGAGAAAAGAGAGAAGAATAAAACGAATCAAAGAAAATGTAGGCGAACATGCTGAAAAAAATATTGGAAAGTGGTAAAAATGAAAGCAATTAAAATCCCCACAAAACAAAACTAATTCAGCCGAAAGATAAAAGTCCGATTACTTTTACATTTCCCTTTTATATTCGTAAATTGTTTTACTCTCCCTAAACTTGCATTTCATCGTCTTTATTTCTTTCAGTCTCTAAATGAAGTACGTGGCTCTCATTGCCGAGTGCAATATCAGAACCCCAAAACAAGTGAACTGTAAACGAAACTCCAAATCCATATTATCTGGCAACATTTGTTAAAATCGGTGAAACGTTCGTAAATTTTTCTTTACTCAATCATTTGGCACTACTGTCAGAAAATCCATTAGTGCGTCTCATTAAAACATGATAGGAAAATGTAGTTATGTTGATTATCTCACTGAAAGCAGTACTGTCGACCAACAGCATAATTTATTTAAAAACAAACAAAAATATCTACTTGTTTATGTAACTATCTATCATTCCAAATATGGACGCCAGTACACATTAATGGATTTCCGTATCCATCAGTTTCACTCTACCGATCTATCTGAACAAATCAAGAATCAGTCCCCATAACTAATAATCGATGTTCGAAATTTGTTAATGGATTTGATTGCATATTAATATTTCCATGACAGCGATACCAAATCGGTATTCTTAACTCTTACTCACAAATAATGAATGTCTTCGGGAACTTGTAAAATAAGATATTAAGGAGACGAGCTATGTCGATATGAATGTGTCTATCTTTAGAACGATATCTTTTCATGTCTATATCTTTATCACTGTTCCTTTATTTCTATCAAAAATTCAAAATTACAGATTGTTTCTGTTTTATTCAGAGTTGTACACAACCATTCTTAAACTGCATTCCATCTAGACGATCGGCATTGTTCATTAAACGTTCTTTAACAATGATTGATTACAAGATAACATTTGATCTTATCTATGGAAAGACAAATGATTGTAGGCGAGAAACATGAAATGAAATAGATTTATGAGAACAGAACTGTCAAAGAGAAGCAAATTCAGAAAAGAAGTTACACCTCAAAACAGAAGAAATTGTTTTTTTAACTTTAAATCTCAGATGAAAAATGCGCAAGTCATTTATAGAAATTAATAAAAATGTATAATAAAAAATGTGAGAAAAGAAATTCGGAAATGATCACATAAAACACCAGAAAGAAATGTAGCAAATTAATAGAAAATAAAGATTTTGAAATAATTGAGATACGAATTATGAAAGAAAAATGATCAAAAAAAAAAAACAAAGTGGAAGAAAAGAAATGTAAAAGAACAAAAAAAGTAATAAAGAGGAAAATAAAAGAACAAAAGAGTGGGAGGGAGCAAAGAGGAACCAATAAAAGAACAAAAGAAATAAAGAGGAACCAATAAAAGAACAAAAAGTGGGAGGATACAACCAATAAAAGAACAAAAGAAGGGAGCAAAGAGGAACCAATAAAAAACAAAAAAGGGGGAGGGAAAGAGGAACCAATAAAAGAACAAAAGAGTGGGAGGGAGCAAAGAGGAACCAATAAAAGAACAAAAGAGTGGGAGGGAGCAAAGAGGAACCAATAAAAGAACAAAAGAGTGGGAGGGAGCAAAGAGGAACCAATAAAAGAACAAAAGAGTGGGAGGGAGCAAAGAGGAACCAATAAAAGAACAAAAGAAAAGGGAGAAACAAAAAAAGAACAAAAGTGGGAGGGAGCAAAGAGAACCAATAAAAGAACAAAAAGAAAAAGAACCAATAAAAACAAAAGAGTGGGAGGGAGCAAAAGAGGGAAAAGAACAAAAGAGTGGGAGGGAGCAAAGAGGAACCAAAAAAAGAGAACAAAAGAGGGGAGAGGAGCAAAGAGGAACCAATAAAAGAACAAAAGTGGGAGGGAGCAAAGAGGAACCAATAAAAGAACAAAAGAGTGGGAGGGAAAAGAGGAACCAATAAAAGAACAAAAGAGTGGGAGGGAGCAAAGAGGAACCAATAAAAGGTAAGAAACCAATAAAAGAAAACAAAGAGACGAAAGACGAACCAATAAATGCAAGAAACCAATGGGTTGCCTACTAGAAAAGGAGAGACCAAGGGGTTGCCTACTAGAAAAGAAGAGACCAAGGGGTTGCCTACTAGAAAAGGAGAGACCAAGGGGTTGCCTACTAGAAAAGGGGAGACCAAGGGGTTGCCTACTAGAAAAAGGCAGATGAAGAAAAAAGGTACTAAAAATTAAAAAGATAATGAAGAAATTGAAATATGCGTTTGAAACAAAATAGAAAAACTAACAGAAGGAAGAGAGGACAGATTTCAAGGAATATGAAAACAAGTAGGTATGAGAAAGATAAATGAATATGGAATATGAAATGGTAAGAAATGTAGATACGAAAGGAAACGCGAAAGACATGAAAACAATAAAACTGCTTCTCTCAGGTAACGAATCGAAAACTAGGAATTTAAAAGCAAAAATAAAACCTAATAAAAAGCCAAACCTCTATAGAAGAAAAATATATAAAAGTTTTAAAGAACAAAACATATGATAAATAAGGAAGAAAAGAAAGCAAATCCATGCAGGATATATCATTAAATATAGGATTTTCTTAAACATTTCCGGCTCTGGGATGTAAGTATGAAGAAAGCTGTTGAACATTTTACTAAATTTAAACGAAAAAGTAAAATGCAAAAACAAAGATGAAACGGAAGCGTTAATGACCTTTTCAGAGACAAGTTGCAAATAAACACAGTAGAAAAAAGGAAAAAAAAAAACATTTTATATCAAACCTCTTCAATTTGCACTTTTGAGATTCATCATGTTTTCTTTTTTCATGTGTACGTGTTAAAAATACCAGCCTTGAAATCGATCACTCATTCTAAGCTAACTACTGTTCAAGATTTTCCGTTTAGAGACGGAGAACAAAAGAAATAGAAAATGTTGAAGTCTAATGCAATGTTATGTAATGAATGGTACGACATATGTAAACCTGACACTGTTAGCTCGTTCACGAAGATTATTTGATCACATTTGAAGATAAGCAGTTATGTATCGCACTTCTAATGCTTAATCATTAGAAATCAGTTGAGACACGTAAGAAATATTTACACACTTTAGTTGTGGACAATTGTCTTCATCTTTGCGGATATCACAGTATTTAGGGTTTATGCCGAGTCGGCAAACCTGCAGGGGAATTCCAAAAGGAACCATTTATTTAATCTGTTTAATGCTCGTGAGAGTATAGGATTTAATAATGAAACAGAAACAAAGAACACATTACTTTTCCTCGATATAACGTTAATCCGTACTGATAAAACTAAGTGTTTGTCACAAATCAAATACAAATGACCTCATAAATTTCTATTCTCACCATAAAAGCAAATCCAGAATAATTTTTGTGTTCTACATTGTATGTGAGTATATATATATATATATATATAACGTTGCATAAAGCATACATGTGCTGATTCTATGCAGGCACCAAAAATTTGATTCTTGGAAAAGGCTCACAGTCTAACCCCAGGCAGAAATGTTCATAATTTTACGGATACAATGCTACTGAAGTTTTTTTGTATCCCTCTGCAAAACACTGCAGTTGTTTTTCATGACGAATGAAAGCACGGACCAAATGCCATTTGCAATCTTCGTTTGATTGATGCAGGTGTCCACTCCCACCGGTCTAAAACAATGTTTCTAATGCCCTAACTACTACCGAAGTTCAATTCCGTCAGTTAAATCACCACAACTTAATTGGCTTGAGAACAAAAATATTTTTCTTTCCCTCATGTTATAGCAATAAAAATAGAAAATAATATTATTTATCTGTGTGTATACCCAATTATTTACGCTGGCGAACACTTAGGAATATATGTATACAGACTGGAAGCGGTTCCATATTCAGACACAAAACACTACTTAATATTCTGAGAGAATTAGGCCAAGAGATTTTAGGATTAGTATTTTTATGCTTAATCTTTTCTTTAAAAAAATTGTATATTTCAATATAGAAATATCCAGACACCAAATTGCTACAACACCACTTTCTGAAAACAAGCTATCCAATGTCGCATGCACACCTATACAGATATTGACAAGGCTTAGCCTATTCTGCCAAGAACACAATAGTTGAACAGTCAGAGAGAATTGAACTCTGTATATTAGGGAAACAGTGATCAAACAGGTAATCATCATAACATATATAACAGTAAAAAAAAAATCATACAAAGCCCAAGTAAAAAGAAAGCACAAGAAAAATGCAGAACAAAAACAATTATCGAAACACAGGCATAGACACAGATAATGAATCTGAAGAAATTTAGAAAAAACAACTAAAAGAAATAAAGAGTGTGTGTGAATGGAGAAAATTACCTTCATAAGCACTAACATTAATAAATTCTCTATTTTCTCGCCGTCTCAATACCAATGAATTCAGAAATTATATCGGCACTTTTATACTGAGCAACTTAAACAATTACACTGGCTAGTCGTTATATACATTTTCATTTTGTGTTGGACGTCTTTAGTATTTTTTGCGAGCATTCAAAATCTATTTACTAACACACACATATATGTGTGTGTGTTAGAGATATTCTAATACGTAAGAGTCAAATTCATATAAAATTTGAGGTTATTAGAGGGGAGATAAATCAGTTTGTAACTTTCCTCTTAGGTTATTGGATAGATTTTGTTCTGAAACTGACTGTATATGGTTTAATCTATATGATTAATGTTTTATTATTTTTATTATGATTATTCCTCGATTAATGCATCTCCTTCATTACCAATGAACTTACGTTAAAAAAAAAAAAAATGTTTGCCGTGTAAAATATTCATTCCATCATTAATCTAATGAGAGGGAGAGGTAAATACAGCATTTGCACAAAGCATATTTACGTAGGAAACAAAGCAAGCAGAAATAAACTCCTGCTGGTGAAGTATTGATTAGAATCGAACTGATTTGAGGCAGGTCTTGTGTTCTTAATGGTGACTTCCTAGTAAAGTGAATAGAAATTATATTAAATTCCTTGGAGACGATGAAAACTGTCTTTTGAAAAGTGACGTCTCAAAAAAAAAAAAAAAAAATAACGAAATAGAGCAAAATAAAAAAAAAGTGGAACTAGCAAAATGGCTGGTCTCAAACAAGATGGTGTCCAAGAAAAGATATGATTTCGAAAATTATTACTTTATATAGAGCGTATATAATTTTACCAGTGTTAGACATTTATTGAACAGAATAACTGATCAAGTCAGAAAATGTTCTATGTATGGCACAGTGAGAAACGAATTCATTATTAAAAATTCTTCTATCATATGCTGCTCTTAATTACATATTTAAACAACGTAATTTTGATGCAAAACCAAAATCATTATATATATATATATATATATATATATATATATATATATGTGTGTGTGTGTGTGTGTGGAGATAGGACATAAAGTCAGGTGATCGTTATGTCTCAAACGATCTTCAGACGACCTGCAGTGCTGAGTTCACACTGCCTATATCTTCAAAAGCAGATTCCCCTACCAAATATAGGGCATTCAAAATGTATGCAAGTGTTAATGAATACGACACAAGTAATAATCTATTTTTTATGTAGTTTCTCTTGATTTGATATAAGCGAGCGAATAAGGTTTAAAGAAGTGCAAGAAAGTGTATAGTTTCTGCAGTCATGAACCTATCATTTGTTATTCTGTATGAAAACAAGATAAAGTACAAAAATATGAATGAAGTATTCCATTATATCGTGTTCAATAATACTCAACTGAAAAATTGCTGTTCATTACACACAGACGTGTGTGTGTATGTAATCATTCCAAAATAAACTATTTTTCAAACACTTTTGAAAACTGCAAAGTGGAAGTACATATTACGTAAATACCTCTTCATATATAATTTCTGAAACTGCGTTACATAAGCAAAAATTGATTTTTTGAAACTACTTTGTATAATATATATTATATATATATATATATATATATATATATATATGCAGGACGGTACAGATAAAATCTTTTCTAAATCTGTCTTACATTCGCCTGTGGTTCCATTACGTCAGAAAGTTAGGCTCCCCCAAAAAACTTTGATTTTTTTTTTGCGAGACTGTATCCGCATACAACGAAAGCTACGTGAACGTATCGATCTCTACATCGATTCTATCAAGCTTGTAATTGAGTCTGCATAGTTTTACACCTGATTTCTCATTTAATGTCTCATCGGGGATTTAAAAAGCAAACCACAAAACTCTTATATATTTTAATTATACCGCTGAACAATTCACTAATGAATAGTACTTTTACTTACAGATCAGTGGTAGAAGGAGATGGGTAATGGGATTGAGTATTTTGTTCTCTCAGTTGTGCCAAGTCAAAAATGTTTTCACATCAGTTTCCCCATAATTTTACTGGAGTATTCCGTGTAGTAAATCGAAGGCTTGATATTACATAGTAATTCAGTAGTCTTCTTTGATGCTAATGAAGTTTTTCTTAATACTTTCAGAAAAGTCATTATCAATGTCCACTTCCAAGAATTCGATTAAATAATGCAAAGGAAAAAGTTTAAGGCTTTTCTGTCGGAATAAAATGCTTTCAGGAACCACTATGTTTACATAAGATTCCGCAATCGTCAAAAAAAAAAAAAAAAAAAAAAAAAAATAAATAAATAAATAAATGAACGATGGTGATATATTTAAGTGATTTGGTAATTAAGTTGTACTTACGAATTATCAATATCTTTTATTTCTTTACTAATACTTGAATATTTACTTCTTTTACTTCACCTGGATATTTAATTAAATAAATGATGTACTCGCCATCGAACATTTTTGGCTCTACATCAACAGAAAAAAAAAAAATTAGAATTTGTAATGAAGGAAAGCGTTCCAGACAAACTAAGCATTATATATATATATATATATATATATATATATATATAGGCTCGAATACCGACCTCTTGCACATATGGAGAAGAAACACTATTTCAGCTACAAAGCAATCAATGGGTAATTGCCCGTGGGTAATAAAACGTCCTAGTATGGCGCAAGGCTCAACAGTTGGAAGTAGATATTAGAAAGAGAATGCTTTGTTAATCTTTCAAGTGGTAGGACTTGTCTTAAAATAGTCTCCAAAACTATCCTCAGTTACCAGTGAATAAACATTGCAGCTCTAAGACAGGCTACCTATTTGGTTCGGTCCTCAGTGTTCGTAGCTTAGGTGATCAAGAGAGAACTTTATTTCTTCAATTTATCCAGACTTATTTTGAAAAAAATTATAAGTAGAACTTGCAATGTATAAAACCACTTATTTCCTAAGAGAGGGAAAATTTATGCCTATATTAACCTTCATATGAATTCATTGTGCCGAGGAGCGGATCGGATTTGCTAACTTAAAAAAGATAAATATGTTAAGAGGAA